CTAGAAGCTGACCAGGGTGCCGTTGTACAAAACAAGCTTAGCGCTACGGGGGGCACGGGTGGCCCAGTCGTCTAAGGCGCCGCGATTCGCTGTGCAGAGTTGCGTCCCTTGGGCACGCCAGAAACCTATGATTGTGGGTTCGAATGCCGGTTCGCCCCGATTATGTTTCTAGGTTTGTCAGCACCATACCCGTGCTCGTGGGTTTCACCGAAGTGGTAAACGTCTGAGACCTGCATCACTTCGTCTTTCCTCCCACATTAAGCTGACACGCCGCAATATAACTGGAATAATGTTAAAAGCGGCGTTAAACCTAACTCACTCACTCACTCACTCACTCACTCCTGATACTCCCAGTGCTGGTAGACAGTGCCAAATGGTTTTTTTTAGTTTAGTGGACTCTGTCTAGAAGCTGACCAGGGTACCGTTGTACAAAACAACCTTAGCGCTAGGGTTGTGCTTAGTCTATGTTAAGGTATAGGGAGTTACGATCACCTTGGTGCTAAGATCGCTTTGTACGACAGCACCCAGGAGATTTAGACAGGTCTTTGAGTCAACTGGATTGTCTCTCTGTTGAGTAGACTTTGGCAGATGTTTGAGTCTACTGGATTCTGAGTAGACTAAAAGGAGTAGACTTGGATGTTTGAGTCTACTGGATTCTGAGTAGACTCTACCAAGTAGACTTGGATGTTTGAGCCTACTGGATTCTGTGTAGACTACTGAGTAGACTTGGATGTTTGAGTCTGACTGACTGTCTAGACACTGTCAACTACACTTTGACAGAAGTTGGAGTCAGCTAGACTCTATCTGGACACTGTCAACTACACTTTGACAGAAGTTGGAGTCAGCTAGACTCTATCTGGACTCGGTCGACTACACTTTGACAGAAGTTGGAGTCAGCTAGACTCTATCTGGACTCGGTCGACTACACTTTGACAGAAGTTGGAGTCAGCTAGACTCTATCTGGACTCTGTCGACTACACTTTGACAGAAGTTGGAGTCAGCTAGATTCTATCTGGACTCTGTCGACTACACTTAGAGACAACAGATGTTAGAGTCTAGTAGAGAAGCATCCAGACATTGTCGAGTAGACTCTCTTATTAGACCTCCTGGTTCAGCTTTAATTAAGATCTGCTGAAAGCATATCAAAAGTTCTGTCCAAAAGTTTTCTGCAGATTTCAATCCGAGCATATGGATCATTAGCAGCTTAGTAATGTAATGTATGTCCATTGCTAGGTGGTCATTATTGAAGGAGTGTACGTGTCTGTGTTTGTACAATGGAGGGCCTGGTGTGCTTGTGAGTCTGTGATACTATTAAGCGGTTCACTGTCGTTATTTGAGTGAAATACATATCTGGCCTGAAAGTTAGGATGCTAAAAAAAACAAAAAACAAAAACAAAAAAACTTAGGATGCCGCCCCGGACCCTGTTTCACAAAGTGGTCATAGCTACGATCGTCGTAACTCTTATGTACTTAAACATTAACATTAGTTTACTGACTGACTGCTGTACTGTTGCTATCGGGTTGTCAAATGCTTGTACAGATGTTTTACAACCTGATCGTAACTACGACTGTCGTAATTCATGACTGTTGTTTTGTTATGATTGCCTTCTCAATTAGGGCATGTGATCGTGTTTCACAAACTGATCATAACTACGACTGTCATAATTCATATACTTTAAAACATTGGATCACAACTGATGTACTGTTACAATTGCTTTGTCAAATGAGGCCATCGACCCCATTTTTATAAACTGATCGTAACTACGACTATCTTAATTCATAACTGTTTTGTTATGATTGCCTTCTCAAATAGGGCAAGTGACCTTGTTTTACAAACTGATCGTAACTACGACTGTCGTAAATCATATACTTTAAAACATTGGCTGATAACTGTTGTACTGTTACTATTTTCTGGACAAATGAGGCCCTTCACCTGTTTTACAAACCGATCGTAACCACGACTGTCGTAAATCATTCACATTAACATTGGCTCACAATTGCTGTACTGTTACGATTGCTTGGACCAATGGGCCCTGGACCCTGGACCCTGTTGAATGAAGTGATTGCAGTTACAACTGACACAACACATATACTTTACCATAGTGTGTGACCACTTTGTGACATGGGGTTTTGAATATCAAACCAACTGTAGCTACGCCTCATGTATACTTTCACATAAGCTTCCAACTATCTCAACAATTGCTGTGTAAGATGGTGTCTGGCTTTACTACATTGCTGTTGCTTAATGTGTATCTGCTGTGTGCGGCATGGCATCATTTCTTGACATACCGTATTTGACGTTATAAGCGCACAGGGCGCTCTCAAAATAAGAAATAGGGGCTCTTATTAGAATATTATTTTGGTTGAAAGATAAATTTTGTGGTTTATGCTGACAGCTTTAAATGTTTATATACAAAAGATGTATTTTTCCAGAATTTAATTGCCCACATGAAGGGTGCATATAACACATTAGTGCATATTGTACGCAAATAAATAAGTCTTGTGCACATTGATCAATTGGAAAGGGTGCTTACTGGGATTGTTCACTAGCCAATATATTAGTAAATATTGCCGTGGGCGCTTATTAGAGCGGGGCGCTTATTACGTCAAATACGGTTTTTATCATGTGGCTCTCATGAAGACATCCCAATATGTTCTTATCAGCTGTTGTTCTGTTATGATTGCTTTGATAATTTGACCAAAGACTTGGTTTTTCAAACTGATCGTAACTACAAATCATAAATCATATACTTTAATATTCACTCACGACTTACTGGTTACGATTGCTTTGTCAAGTAGGGCAGATAACCCTGTTTCACAAACTGATCGTGCCAACGACTCATAATTCATATGCTTTAATACTGACTCGCAACTGTTCGGTTCGTTTGCTTTGTCAAATAGGGCAGATAACCCTGTTTCACAAACTGATCGTAACTATGCTGCATAGTATCATGTCATGACATACAGCATCATGGGTGGGACTAGTGACAATCTCATTAAAATCAGATCTTAGTTCTCACTGTCGCGAAACAAAGATCTGAGGACATCCCATTTGGGGTCACGTCAGAACGACCTTTCATCCGACAAAGCAGAGCGTCGCTTACCAGATCATGAAAGTGACAGTCGGAATGTGATTTCTAATCATGCAGCCCCGAAAACATTAAAACGGGGTAAATTGAACGATAGTTACGGGCTTAACGACTGAATCTATACAATCTAGACCATATATTAGCTATTCGAGAATGTTCTTTTGTTCAGGTTTCAAATTTATAAGTGAGAATTTGTCAAAATATGTTTTGAAGCGTAGTCGCCTATTTGAAATTAGTGCCGTAAAGCACGAGAGAGCTGTCTTCTGATTGGCTAATATCATCTTCTTGTCAGTTATTCCATTGGTCGGTCAGAGTTCACGAAAGGTCATCTGACGTGACCCGTAATGGGATGTCCTCAGATCTTTGTTTAGCGGCAGTGAGAACTAAGATCTGATTTTAATGAGATTGGGCTAGTGAGGGTAGGGATTGCCTGTGTCCAGTAACCATGGTAACTGTTCCCTATCCACACTAATGGATACAGTTGAACATGTTCCTATCATTTCAATAGTTAACATGATGCTATTTTAATACCGAAGATCAAAACTTTTAAGACCATACATTATATATGTTTAGTATTCAAGTGAAGGAATGAATTTGTCAATCCCTTTTTACTTTAAGACATGCGACACAAAATATAGCATTCATGTATTGTGTTTTGGTTCATCTTTGTATATTTGGGGCCTTGAAGATTTTGTCGCAGTTTGGTCATTCTTGTTATTGTGTGTGTTTGTCAGCTCCATCAAATGGAGCAGTCAAAAGAAAAGAAAAAAAGTCAAAATGACATCTTTCTTTGCTTGAGAATATTACGCAGGCAAATGGATGGATATTAAACACTTGTTTTATTTTTTGTGTCAATACTTGTATGTTTTGAAGGAAATAGAATCAGTGCATGGTTGTTGCTTTTTGCAAAACAATGGAAATTGTTGGTCCAAAAAAAACACTGACTTTTTTCATGTGGTGGCAATGGAGAAGCCTTTTGGTTGATTCACTGTCATTAGGGACAATGGGGTAGCCTTTTGCTTTCCCCACTGTCAGTCGGGGCGATGGGGTAGGCTTTCGGTTGATTCACTGTCAGTTTTGGCGATGGGGTAGCGATGTCAGAAATGCTTGGACCAATAATTTACAAGAAACACTTTTTTGTTTTGTCAATGTTAGTTTGCAGTCTAATATTTCCACTCATGCATGAACCCATGTTAAGTGAAATCCAGATTGTTCAGTAAGGTACGATAAGCACAATACATACATCCTGGTTTGGAAGGTCATATCCAATGAAAAGTTTAAAAACTGTGTCATGTCTTCAGGCAGGTCATAGCCACTGGTGTGTTTTATGAGGATTTTCTTTCAGAGTGAGGGCGCACGGGTGGCCCAGTCATCTAAGGAGCCGCTATTTGCTGTGCAAAGTTGCGTCCCTTGGGCTCGCCAGAAACCTATAATTGTGGGTTCGAATGCCGGTTCGCCCCGATTATGTTTCTAGGTTTGTCAGCACCATACCTGTGCTTGTGGGTTTCACTGAAGTGGTAAACGTCTGACACCTGCATCACTTCGGGCTTTCCTAACACATTAAGCTGACATGCCATGATATAACTGGAATACTGTTAAAAGCGGCGCTAAACCCAACTCACTCTTTCAGAGTGATCCCTAACTTTGGCTTTTGTTTGATTAAAGATGTGGATGTCTGTTCGTCTGGATTTTAATGGAAGAGTTACCTTTCCATGTCTAAATCATGTTCCAATGACTGATAAAGTGTTTTAATCCACCCACGAGAAAAAGAAAATGGGGTTTCCTGGTCATTTGGATGATAAACATATTCTGGTCTGGGCCTTACTTTTTTTTTCAGAAAAATAAAATCTATATTCCTTGAGCAGGCGCAAAGACAAAATTGAGTGAATGATGATTTTTATTAATTTTCAGTTGCAACGGTTGGGGTTTAACAGATTCAGCATCTCTACTTGTAACATATAAATAAATTCCAACAAGCAAAACAACTTTATCTGTTTCAAACAGCTATTATTTTATCATCTTGTGCAGAGTTCTCACCCTTTGGGCATCTTAAAGCTCAAACACATGTCCAAGGTGAAACAATGTCAACTTCGCCAATAGGAAAACAAATTTGAAAGAAACGAAATAAAATGATAACGTCAGATTGTGCTTCTGTCTTTCGGACATCTAAATCCAGTTAAATAAATAACTGTAGCTGTAGTACTATGCCAAGCCTACCACTATGTTAAAATGTCAGACCTACCATAGAAAGTTCACGTATAAAACCTGTGCAAAATGTTACACACTAATTGCCACTTTGGAGAAAAGGAAAAAAATGTGAAATTCCTGAATTTGGAATCACATCTTTTTTATGCATATGTCATAATTTCAAGTGTTTAGATTTGAGGTTTTTGTGGACATTGTCCTCATTTTTTATCATTAAGCTAAATTTCTTGGGGGACTGCGTATTTGGCATGTTGCTTCAGTCATGGTGTCAGAACAACAGGTTTTCACTATCTGCATGCCTCTTAGCTGAATAGCGTTCGCTCGTCACGCCGAAGACCCGGGTTCGATTCCCGACATGGGTACAATGTGTGAAGCCCATTTCTGGTATCCCCCGCCGTGATATTGCTGGAATATTGCTAAAAGCTCACTAAAAGCTCACTCACTCACTCTTAGCTGAATAAATATCATTTGGTGTTTCCAACTTTACTGTCTTTTTCTTTTCATCCTTCTCATAGTAGCAAATTAGTTATCTGTTTTCTGCCACTGAAATTGTATTTCTGAAGTTTCTTTCTAATGTTATTTGTAAATGATATTTTTTTATTATTTTGCATTTGCATTTGTACATGGAAGTGGTTGTACGTAAAGTTTACATAAATCATTATTTCTTTTCTAGGACGGTTGGTTTAGGGCATTGCAGTGTAGACAAGCCAGGGAAGAGTAGCCATTTTCGAAGGACAAATATTACTTGAAATATTCCACGGCTACTTGAAAGTGTAAAAGAACCCACGAAGAGCATGAAATCAAGTCAGTGTCTTACCTTCAACACCAATCCATGTTTAACTAGCTGTATTCACTTTATGTGCTGGGGCGGTCGGGTAGCCTGGTGGTTAAAGCGTTCGCTCGTCACGCAGAAGACCCGGGTTTGATTCCCGACATGGGTACAATGTGTGAAGCCCATTTCTGGTGTCCCCCGAGGTGATATTGCTGGAATATTGCTAAAAGCGGCGTAAAACCATACTCGCTCACTCACTCACTTGATGTGCTGGTGTTCAGCATAAGTTTTTTTTCTTGAAAACCCTTGAGTACTGCATGCATAGACATTCCTTTTTATCCAGTCAGTATCTATGACCTTGAACGGTGTCTTCACTAGGCAGAGGATTGGTATTTGTTTGTCATGGCAGCAATTAAAAACACTGACCTCAAGTCAGATTGTGATTATGTCCATTTATTTTTTTTATTTTTTATTTTTGTGAGTGAGTGAGTAAATATTGCTTTAAGCTGCATAGCAATATTGCAACTAATCGCCATTTATTGAGGCGTGCCTGGTAATATGAAGATTTTGAAAAAACGACATATGGCATAACACCAAAATTCAATCCAAAAAAATAAAATTATGAATTGTTTTTATAATTTTTCTCATCAAATGCTTGATAAATTCCAAAAAGGACAGTTTAATAGACTCTTTCATTTTGTTCTCTTCTCTGACATGAAATTAATATGTTGAAAGACCATTCTCACATTAAAATGTGGGCAGTTTTGCCATTAGTGGTAGAAATATCAAGTCAGTTTTTTTGTACTGGACCAAAAAAAGAATATTGATCACCCTGAAAATTATTCCAAGGCCTAAATGGTGATGAAAAACTTTTCAATTAACCTTTCAATACCTAAACTAAACCTAAAAGTGTGTTTCTTGACCCTATCTCAATGATCGTGAACCTTGATAATGTGCTTTGCTGGTAAGGATGCAATCTCGGGTTAGAACTCTACACAGTGTGAGAAAGGACATGGTCAATTACAATAGGGTTAAAGTGGGATAGTCCCCCAAATTTGCCCATTTTTAGCTCCTCTTAATCCAAATAAATTGTTTTGTGTGGCCCTCAAAACTTTATCAATGAGTGAGGTGCTTCTTGCATGATTGTCCCCATCTACCTTCCCTTGTTGTAAATGACCAGGTCCTTGTTCCACAGGGTGATCTTAGCACTAAGATGATCGTAAGTCCTATACTTTAACATAGACAGGATTGTCTTGGAGTTTACGATTGCTTTGTGCAAATTGGTGCTGCAGGACCTTCTTTTGCAAAGTGATCTTAGCACTAAGATGATCGTAAGTCCTGTACTTTAACATAGACAGGATTGTCTTGGAGTTTGATTGCTTTGTGCAAATTGGCACTGCACGACCTTCTTTTGCAAAGTGATTTTAGCGCTAAGATGATTGTAACTGACACGCTTTAACATAGACTTACGATAGTCACAGAAGTAAGATTGCTTTGTGCAAATTGATCCTGTAGGGCCTTGTTCTACAAAGTAATCTTTGCGCTAAGATCACCATAACTTCTATGCTAAATAGACTTAAGATTGTCGTGGATCTTAAGGACGCTTTGTTCAATAGGACTCAGGGCGTTGTTCCACAAAGTGATCTTTCAGCTAAGATGATCGTAACTCCTACACTTTTACATAGACTTATGGTCACTTAGAACAAAGATCGCTTTACGGAACAGACCCCAGTTTCTTATGTTCTTGTAACAGATATAAATACTTGTGTCTAGTGTTGTAAAATTATGCATACATGTTCATACTGTAACATAGCTGTGTACTGTGTAAATAGATGTCACTGGAAGATGTTCTGTTGAGTTGTAGATCACTAAAAGGAGGGAATCCCACTGGTACTGCCACACATGAATACTGTTGAACATTCATTAAATAACATGACTATCAATTTGCCTATTTGGTCTACCGTACCATGACACAGACAAAATAGGAGGAAAATCGGCGAAAAAATAACTGAGCTTCTATGACTACTTGATCACTGAATTGGCTGGTGGATTTTATCTTCTTTTTAATATTTCAATGCAATGTTTTGGTACAGACGTTGGTATGTTTATCAAATTATAAATGTGCTTGTGTCTCTTCTGAAATGTGGAATTGAGATGCTGAGGTGCAGAAGCGAATTCATTCTTCATTGATGCTACTGCTTCTAAATGCCACATATATGTATTGATCATGACAATATTGAATATAAGAATGTACCCACCACAGCCTTCTGACTGGTTAAAGATTGTTTGCAAATTTGGTCGTGAAAAGCACGTCCTACTGAAAATTGATATTATTTTGAAACTGGCGTAATTGCATTGTCTCATGGAAAAAGACTGCCTGGAAAAGCTTTGTGTTCCTGTTGCTAGGTTACAGAGGCTCTCCCTCCTTTACATCCTCCATTATATAGTGTATATTACCTCCATTCTGTTCTGATAAATACCCTTGACCTGTTCACCACCATGGCTTCTGTCACGTGAAGATCCGGGGTAGAAAAGGTTTTCTGCAACCCATGCTTGCTGAAAGAGGCGACGATGCTTGTCGTAAGAGGCAACAAACGGGATCCGGTGGTCACGTTCACTGACTTGGTTGATGCATGTCATGTTATCCCAATTATGTGGATCTATGCTCATGATAGGTCGAATATTGCTGACTGCAGCATTAAACAACAAACAAAAACATAATGGAATACTGTTCAAATTGGTGTTAAACCCAACTCACTCACTCACTCACTGGTGATATCACTGTTGAATGGACAGCTATTTTCAGCCTCGAGTAAGACGAACTTGGACTCAAAATGAAGCTTTGGTTTTGTGAATGGCTCAAGGGTATTTGTCATATTTGAATGGAGAATAGAAAATACAGACATTTGACGATGTGATCAAGGATCCCCCTTAAAAACACTGAACTCCTCCGTATAGTGCTCTATTTCAGTAGTACTAGTCCTGGGACATGGACCAGAGTGTGATCCACAGTCTAGATGTTATAGGCACATTAGATCAGTGTTCACACAAATTTCATTCTCAGCTCCCTGGGGAGTATACAACCGAAACAGGATGTATGTATTGTGTTTATATGTACTGACGTTTGAGTTTTAGCCAGGGATTCTCACCAGGGCCCAATGTCTGAAAAAAACAAATTTTCAACTGTAGGGGGACAGACAACTCTTCAATGGTACAATCCAATCCACGGATCAACGACTGACAGGAAATTATGTGTGACTGAATTGTTCAAATGATTGTCAAACCAAACAGGTTTATTCACTAGCAGACGATTAATGTTACTTGTCAAGATTATAATTCTTCTCGTTCTTGATCTATGAAGATGTATCGTTCAGTGATAATGTGTATAATTTTTTCATACAGCTTGGGAAATACAGTAATAATAATAATAATAATAATAATTATAATAATAATAATGGACATATGTAATGCACTGAATTAATCCACTGAGTTATGCTCACAGATCAGTGTTTATTCAAATTTCTTTCTCAGCTCCCTTGGGAGTATACAACCCAAATGGTATATGTTATTGACATTGTGATCATGGACAGGAAATTTTGAATGCTGTAAAATCATCAGATCATTTTAGGCCTAATCAGTTGAATTACTTGTTTGAAAGGCTAGCAGGGCAGTAATCATGAGTAGAGAGAAACCCTGGCTAAGATTCTGTATAGAAAGAACCATGTGATATGGACAGGCAGGTGGTATGTGTTTTTTTTATCTTTATATCCCCCGCCACGAAGTGCTTGTTCTTTTGTGCCGTACAGTTAACCTTGGATATAGGTCAGGTCCTTTCAGGTCACTTCATGTTGGGTTGGGTCCTTTCAGATCACTTCATGTTGGGTCAGGTCAGTCAATGTCAAGTCAGTTTGGGTCGGGTAAAATCACATTAATTTGGGTCGGGTAAAATCACATTAATTTGGGTCGGGTAAAATCACATTAATTTGGGTTGGGTTGGGTCAGGTCAGTTAAGGTCGAGTTAGTTTGGGTCGGGTAAAATCACATTAATTTGTGTCAGGTTGGGTCAGGTCAGTTAAGGTCGAGTCAGGTTGGGTGGGGAAAGTCAGATCAGTATGGGTCAGATTGGGTCAGGTCAGTTAATGTCGGATCAGGTTGGGTCAGGTCAGTTAGTGTCGAGTCAGTTTGGGTCGGGTAAAATCTCATCAATTTGGGTCGTATTGGGTCAGGTCAGTTAATGTCAGATCAGTTGGGGTTGTGCGAAGCTAGATCAGTTTGGTTCGTGTTGGGTCAGGTAAGGTCAAATGTGTCATGGAAATTATTTTTCTCATGTTTATTTTTCCCAGGTTAATATCCAAGATTGACTGTATTTGTATGAAAGAACAAATATCTTGAATATGTATGTTGTAGATTTTGAAATGTTCAGTTTATGAATAGTGTCCCTTGGAGACAGGTTTCATCAATCATGTCCACATTGAATAACAGAAATTGTAGTCTTCTTTGTTTCATTGTGAACCACAGAAATATTTAGACATGGTTGTTAGGATACAATTGAGTGAACATATCTGTGACCGAATCTGATGATGAAGAAATATATTTGCTTCTTGGGCATGACCTTCACAAGGAAGCCTAGGCACATGTTGGTAGTTCGCAAACTATTTCTGTGGTTAAGAAAGTTTCATAATGAACAAATTTCACATGGGAATCATATATGTGTGTGCTTCCATTGGCAGAAATTGCTTCGTATTCATGCAATGCATCTTCTAAATATTTCAGTTTACCCGTGTTTAAATCTGACATCAGATGTTGATAAATGATTATTTGGTCTTTGAGACAACTATTCTAACTTCACTGAACAAAAATGTTAGTATCATGAATATCTTTGGGTGTTGTTTTTTTTAAATTGTATCCCTCAAAATATTCATGATCCTTAGCTTTTTTTATTCAGTATATTTAGTTGAGATCCATATTAAATTTGACTGGCGCTGTTTCGTTGCCTTGACAGACGTTTGTTAAAAACTCCAAAGGAGATTTTAATTTAAATGTATATTTTAATATTAATTCGTGAATCACAAAATCAAAAGAGTAAATATTCCGTTTTTACAATTTGCATATCTTATCCAAATCATTGTAGTTTGTTTGTTGTTTGTTGTTTAGTGCCGCACTCAGCAGTATTCCAGCTTTATGATGACGGTCTGTAAATAATCAAGTCTGGACCAGAAAATCCAGTGATTGACATAATGAGCATCGATCCAAGCTTTTAGGATGTGATGACATGCATCAACCAAGTGAGCAAGCCTGACCACCCGATCCTGTTAGTCACCTCTTACGAAAAGCATAGTTGCCTTTTAAGCATGGGTTGCTGAAGACCAAATCATTGTATGATAAATGAAGCTGTAAAAAGAAGGTTTAGTTTTTGAGATCATTTTCCTTGCTGGCTGTTTTTATGTTCCCACGGACCTGTGAAGATCCGGGATAGAAAAGATCTTCAGCAACCCATGTTTGCCGTAAGGGGCGACTATCCTTGTCGTAAGAGGCAATTAACGGGATCGGGTGGTCAGGCTTGCTGACTTGGTTGATGCATGTCATCGTATCCAAATTGTGTGGATCGATGTCCATGATGTCAATCACTGGATTGTCGTGTCCGGACTCAATTATTTACAGATCGCCGTCTGAGTGTGGCAATAAACAATCAATTATGTTCCCACTGCTTGAAAATGTTTAAACTTCTTTACTCAGCATGTTAACATGTAACAGTTTTATATATACTACGCAAGTAATGATATTCTTGTTGTCAGCTTTTATGTGAAGATATTATGTGCGTGTTGTTTCATTGTCTGCTTATATGTACATGTCCCTGGAATTAAATTAGTTTTCGGTGCTAATTTCCGACGTTTTGTTTTTGTGCTGTATAAGCTTACCTTGTTGAATATCTTTTAACATATATGTTCTTTTTTGCCTGAGATTATCATTGTATTAGTTAAACTCTTTACACATTGTGTTGCTTCTTATTGGCCAGAACATGGCCAGAATTAGGTGTGTCTGCATACAAAGAAGGGGTGGATCTATTGGTCTGCTGCGGATCAGATGTGTCTGCGTACACAGAAGGGGTAGATCCTTTGGTCTGCTGCAGATCAGGTGTGTCCTCCAACTCTGTTAGGGTGGATCCATTGGTCTGCTGCAGATAAGGTGTAGTGCTGCACTGATAGGGTAGATCCATCGGTCTGCTGCAGATCAGGTGTAGTGCTACACTGATAGGGTAGATCCATCGGTCTGCTGCAGATAAGGTGTAGTGCTACACTGATAGGGTAGATCCATCGGTCTGCTGCAGATAAGGTGTAGTACTACACTGATAGGGTAGATCCATCGGTCTGCTGCAGATAAGGTGTAGTGCTACACTGATAGGGTAGATCCATCGGTCTGCTGCAGATAAGGTGTACAGCTACCCTGATAGGGTGGATCCATCGGTCTGCTGCAGATAAGGTTTACTGCTACACTGATAGGGTGGATCCTTTATTTCTTGCACTCATTGTTTAGAGACCAGTCCCTCATAACTTTGAGTTTTGAAAGATTAATGGCATTCATTTATTTGGTCTCTCATTTGCAGTGCCTTACCAGTGTGAGCATGCAGATACCCTTCACTTTCTGGGTCAGATTATTTCCACGAAATGATTTTTAACCAGAAAGGATTTGTGAATTGGCACAATATTAATCATGTTAATACAGTTACTCTTATTACCAACTTATTACTATTGTGTTGCAATGTGTGTGATGTGTATATATATATATATATATATATCATTCTTACCTGATGTAATCAGACTTAGTCAGTTAACTAGATGGCTCAGTATTAGTATATTTAGGTGTTATTTTTTATTACTTGGTTTAGGGATCTAGTGACCAAAATTTCAAAAAAATTAAATACATTTACGAACTGTTTTTAAGTTGGAACACAGTGCAGTGTATCTTTACTAGTTCTTTAAACCAAGCAATTAAAAATAAGGCTTTATTATCGATGCGAAACAAGATGGTATTTTATGCTAAATTAATAACTTTTATTGATGCGACAAAATGTTTCTTCGTTCGTGTAAGTAAGGATCAGAATGAGTAACACAGAGAGAAATATTTACTATTTGCTTTTTTGGAAATTGCAATTTTCAACAGTGTTGCAACTTCAGACAGATCTGTAATCAATAAAGTGCTTTTTACGTATACTTGTGTTCCTTGTGTTTGTGAAACAGACCCTGGTTGGTTGGAGTCGGTATGCTGAGCCTGAGTGGGTATCCATGTTAAACTGCGGCATTGTATCTCACTAGAGATACAACTATTAAACCGGCATTTGTGTGAACTGGTACAAGCAGCCATACAGGTAAAAAACTCTGTCAAAAAGTCACAGAAAAATGTCACAACGGCTCTATCCCATAGCAGCAAAAAAAATGTCATAACGCCCACAACAAAAACGTCATAACGGCCACAGGTAATTTGTTTTGGCATTAGTTTTTGCCCGTAAGAGACCTGAAGACCAAGGAAAGACAATCCCTGTGTAGGATTTGTTTGAAATAAAAACGATGAAAAGTTTCCTCATTAGGATAAAAGCTTCCATCTTTTCACAACAGATTGGTACACTGGTCGGAGTAAAGAGATCAAAATTTATTGTTTGAAACAATACGTGAACTCTACTGGAAGATATACACAAAGAAATAAGTTAAGCACACCCCTTTTTCTGAACCAAGACAAAGGACAAAAATCATGGCATGGGATGACTGACGACAGGAGCTGGGCGACACCAATGTCATCCGATAGAACAAACATTTGACAACAAATAAGGACGATATTGGTGAGTTGTGATTGAAATTTTCTGACAAAAACATCATGGTAACACAGGTACTGTTTTTGACCTTAGACAATACCTAAAAAAAAGTATGGAGCTGCAGGATTAAGTAAACGAGTTACGTTTGATGTTTCATGTGAAAATGTTCCTTAAAGTCTCTACTTGACATGACACATGAAACAGATCAGTAGCGGGTATAACTGCCATGTGCCCGGATGACGCATTCCACCCTACGTCTCATGCCTCCAGTCAGATGTTGGATCTGCTGATGGGTTAACAACAACCACTCCTGATGCAATGCTGCTTCCAATTGTCGTAAATCTTGTACAGGAGGATCTCGTGCCTGTATGCGCCACCCAAGAATATCCGTAACATGTTCAAGGGGGTTCAAATCTGGGCTCATTGCTGGCCAGGGTAGAGTCGTTATTGCATAGGCAATATTAGAATGTTACTACAGTAAAGTACGGTTATAACGAACTCAAAGGGACTACTAATTTTAGTTCGTTATAACCGTAGTTCGTTATAAGCATATATACAGCATAACTGCAGCAAATAGTCGGGACCAAAAAGTAAGTTCGTTATATCCGTCAGTTCGTTATAAGCGTGTTCGTTATAACCGTAGTTTACTGTATGTTCAATCCATACCCGTGCTCGTGGTTTTCACCAAAGTGGTGAACGTCTGAGACCTGCATCACTTTGGGCTTTCCTCCCACTACGTGATATAACTGGAATACTGTTAAAAGCTGCCCAACTCACTCACTCACTCACTCATTACTCTTGTGTACGGTTCCTTTTTGTTAACTGGGTTTGGGTTTGGGTTGTTACTTCCGGTTTAGATCTGAAGTATGTTCAGAATGTTATTTTGTTCAAGCCAACATCGTGACTATATCATGCAGGCGTATTATTTTTTCCGAAAATAATTGCAACCTGAAACCAACCTGTTGATTTCCTATGTAATCAGAAGCAAAAACATATAAGGGTGAAAAAACTCTGCGGGAAGGTAAACAAACTGTCAAAGCAAAAAGCCTTGTAAAACCGTAAACCGCCGCATGAAACGATATGAATTTTGGTTTTGGTTTGGTTTGTTGTTTAACGCCGCACTCAGCAATATCCCAGCTATATGACGGTGGTCTGTAAATAATCGAGTCTGACCAGACAATCCAGTGATTGACAACATGAGCATCGATCCACGCAGTTGGGACGGATTACATGAATCAACCGAGTCAGCGAGCCTGATAACCCGATCCCGTTAGTCGCCTTTTACGACAAGCGTAGTCGCCTTTTACGACAAGCATGGGTTGCTGAAGACTTATTCTACCCCGGATCTTCACGGGCGGAAACGGTATGAATCATACATTACATACAGTGAACTACTGTGCTCAACAATGCACAACAAGCATCATACATATGATTATAAAGGCAACTAATTACAAGGTTCTCATATCAAACCCGTTGTTTTACATGTATTGTTTATTATATACTTCTGTTTTCTGAAGTTGAACAAGTGCTATTTTCATTGCAGTGAATATAACACTTCATATTTCACTGCAGTGAACATAACACTTGATACTTCACTGTAGTGAACATGACACTTCGACGAAACTATTGTCATACAAGAGTGACCTCCCCTTAAATTGTCTCCCTTTATCGTAAGTGTCTGGCCCGTACACAAACTGTTAACTTCCTTTTTACGTTAGATCCTCACTGACAAGGCAAAATAATGACAGTTGATCATTTATGGAGTTAATATCACTTCTTGCCGTTTGTTATTCTCTCGAAAATGTTTCGTTATAAACTGTAAATTTCATATTCTCCTAGTTTTGAAGTATTTTTTTTGTTAAAATAGTTTGTGGTGGACTGTCCCTGTGTGTCACGTAGGGAGAATTTACGTTTCAAGGTTTTACATTTTTAATTAACGAATTTAATTTTCCGGTAGACACCTACACAAAAGGTATATAATATATAGGATACACCCACCCAATGCGTGATAAAGCTATATACTACGCCTATAGCTAAAGGAGATAATCGCTCAATGAGCAATAGTTTATTCTTACAAAATATAGACCAGTTAACTTAACCGAAAGGAGATATATTTCCCCAAAAACATTAGGGCGGGGAAGAATAAGTCAACTAAAGTATCACATATTTTAGTTTTGTTAGGCCACCATACTGAGGACCGTGGGGACTGACAATGATTCTACTACCTGCACGGTTCCCCAGCAGGATTTACACCATCCCGCTGGCGATGATCAAACTAGCTTAGCCCAAAATTTAGAATGACGAATACGCCACGTTTAGAAGTCTGACATGCATAACCAATACTTCGAAGGATTTGGTACTTACATATTATTTTACGTTACTTCACACTCCCTCGAGGATACAGCCACACACAATAGAATTACTAATGAGCACTACCAATTTATAAAATAACACTACGTACATCAACATTTATCAGTTAATTCAATTTCTTTTTAAAATACAAGAATTAAATTAGACCTTACGTTGTTTAATTGATCCTTTCAAAGTTGAATCTTTGAAACGGTTATCCCCTATGATGAAATAATCGATATGCTTGACTGTGATTCTTTTACCACAAGGGATACAGAATGGAGGATCCTCACCTTTCATTAAATATTCATGTTTACATAATGATCTTCAAATGTGGACTGACAACCAAGTAGGTGAAACCAATAGTTGCATTAGATCTCTGATGTAACATCTATTGTTTTTGTTTGTTTGTTTGTTTGTTTAACGCCGCACTCAGCAATATTACAGCTACATAACGGCGGTCTGAAAATAATTGAGTCTGGACCAGACAATCCAGTGACTGACATCATGACCATCAATCCACACAATCGGGATACGATGACATGCATCAACCAAGTCAGCGAGCCTGACCACCCGATCCCATTAATCGCCTCTTACAAGCATAGTCGCCTTTTAAGGCAAGCATGGGTTGCTGAAGAGCTATTCTACCTCGGATCTTCACGGGTCGTAACATCATATTGACAGGTTATTAATCACTAGAAGTGGTGTCACATATTTGTTGAATGCTGCTTTCGCAGCAGCAGCTATTATGTTACCAACGATTCCAACATGGCTGGGTAACCTACAAAATCCGATAGATATTGTACTGGCCAGTGGCAAGATTATGATGTAATTCAATGATGTCAAGTAAAATTGGATGCTGACACGAATTATTTTTATTGCCTGAAGATAGAACGAGTCTGAAAATATAATAAATTTCTTCAGTTTCGTCTGTTTATTCATAGGGGCGGTCGGGTAGCCTAGTGGGTAAAGCGTTCGCTCGTCATGCAGAAGCCTCGGGTTCAATTTCCCGACATGGGTACAATGTGTGAAGCCCATTTCTGGTGTCTCCCGCCTTGATATTGCTGGAATATTGCGAAAAGCGGCGTAAAACCATACTCACTCATCCACTGTTTATTCATATATTCCAGCGCTGTCCTTTGATCCGGCTGTAAAAACGGAAGAATTTTCTGGTAACCTAGGTAATGAAGTTCTGGATCCCAATGATAGTAATAATACTTTCACTTACATGACGGCAACAGTAAGGTATGCTCTGAACGCTTCTGGGGCGGTCGGGTAGCCTAGTGGTTAAAGCGTTCGCTCGTCACGCAGAAGACCCGGGTTCGAATCCCGACATGGGTACAATGTGTGAAGCCCATTTCTGGTGTCTCCCGCCTTGATATTGCTGGAATATTGCTAAAATAGGCGTAAAACCATACTCACTCACTCACTCACTCAATAACTCTGAGCTAAACAACACTGAAACCACTGGACCAATAAAGCTGAAATTTCACTGTTGTACCCACCAATGATGACACTTGAATTTGATGAAGAGGCTTAAATCTTTCTAAAATGAAGTTTTTTTGTTATCAACTGATCATGGTACCAATAATAGCCTTTTGAGGTGTCACACTTTGATTAGGGTATAATATGTCTCTGTCTATCCCTGAGTTGGAGGGAACTCACTCACTCACTCTGAGCGCTTGTTGGAAGAGTCACGAAACAGTTTAACGGGAAGTCTGGAATGTTTTTAACTGTCTCGTAAAAGATAAGATTAGTTTTGGTCCACAATGAGGCTGCTGCCTATTTGACTGACCTTTCTCCATAAGTCGTTACAGCTTGATTTGTTGAGACTTTTGAGCATTTTGTCTCTGAATCGTAGCGAACGCGTTGGTTGGTAAGGGGAGATAGGTTGGAGCTTCATCGTTATGGCATCCATGCGCAAGAGAGAGTGGCTTGGTGTTGATCCGTGGTGAAATGGGCAAGAACTGGAGTCGTTTTAGTACTGGTGTGACGTCAAACCAGGCCCAATACATCGACAGCAATATCCCACAATCCTCTGGTTCCCCCTGTA